CGAGGCAGAGTTGCTCTGCCCCGGGCTTCCTGGAATCAGCTGCTGATCAGTTTCAGCAGCAGCTGACTTGGGGACGCCTGGGGTTCTTAAGTTGATTCTCTATGTAAGTCAGAACTGGTGGTCAGTTTCAGCAGCGGCTGAATCTGGACGCCAGTTCCGACTTACATACAGATTCAACTTAAGAACAAACCTACAGTCCCTATCTTGTACGTAACCCGGGGACTGCCTGTAATTATTTAGTGTCAGATTGATGTCAGTTATAGCAGCACAAGGCTGGAGTAGCTCCATGCAAGTCACAAGTGACTTTGGTTTTACACCTTTGTAATGGAGAGTAGAATTTGGTCCATATGATTTACTTGGTTATCCACCATACTGCACATTATTTGGCAGTTATTACAGGAAAAAATTCCAACCACAGCTGTCTTTCCTGCAGTTCCACTGAAGTTAAAGTGAGTATGTATAAAGACAGAATATGGTTCTATGCAATTTGTTTTTTTTTTGTTTTTTGTTTTTTTAAGGCAACCATTACTGGTGCTACTTGTAACTGTTCGATTTAACGTTGAAATGTAATGTTTATTAAAAAATTCAACTTCTGGCATGTTCACATAATCCTCACTAATCCAATTTAAATACTTGAGCCCCAATTCAGCAAAGACTTAAATGCTTAAGTTACTAGGTTTCACTGTGTGCCTTAGGAACTGAGTCCTTAAAGACCAATGGGCAACAACTTCTGTGTTTTAGTCACAGGGAAATGTAATGTTCCTCTCACAGCCCTAGTGAGGATGCCTCTTATCTTTACTCTGATGAGTAAGGGCACTCCCACACCTAAGTTACTTTTCCTGCAGGTCAAGCAGGTTGACAAATCTATCAAGATGTTAGTTCTCAAAAATTGCAACAGACGGGGATAGCCATGGTAACTATGACAAAGTAAATTCCGATGAAGGCAGGAATCCTAAACTGTACAAATGTCATGCAAAATAATTTCATTTTATGTATTTTGTAAAACTAATTTGTGGACATATCTATTTTCTTCTTAAACTGCATACACTCTAGAAGCATCACTCAATTTCTAAAATTACAAATATTACTCAGCATTTGTGCCTTATTCTAGCCAAAATGAACACATTATGCTGAATACAGCCCAGCTCCACCTATGAAGCAAAATTTAAACATTTTCTATACAATAAAAATTTAAAACAAAGTAAGTTTGAACAAATGTTTCATTGAAAGACCACGTCTATACTTACTGGTGGATCAACACTCCAGAAGTTGATCTTCTGGCATTTGATTTAGCGGGCCCTAGTATAGACCCGTACATTGAATGCTGAGGGCAACTCCAGCCAGCGTCTGTACTTCTCGCGCCGTTGCGTGGATGATACAAACACAATTTATGATGTGGCAACTCCAACTAAATAATTAACGTAGCTGGAGTTGTATATCTTAATTCAACCTTCTGCTGTAGTGTAGACCAGGCCTAAGTGAATACTATTTGTACAAGGAAAAAGTGGTTTAACACCTAACTAGTAACATGCTGAAAGCATACA